GTGTTACCGCAGAACCTGATTCAGCAGTGCCGATCCATCGCGATACTGTGGCTCGATCTTTACAATGGGCCATCCCATTACCCCGTTGTTACCCTAAAATAGTTGCTGTCTGTTGGTGGTAGTGGCGGCTCCTAATTGAAAGCCTGGTGGAAGAGCTCCATCTTACAGGCCCTGCGGAACTGTGAGAGGTCCTGCAGGGCCCTGATCTCCTCCGGGAGCTTGTTCCAGCAGGTAGGAGCCGCCACTGAAAAGGCCCTGGCTCTGGTTGCCGCAAGCTTCGCCTCCCTGGGGCCTGGGGTCACTAATCAGTGTTAAACCCCCAACCGTAGTGCTCTCTGGGGTATGTATGGGAAAAAGCGGTCCCTCAGGTATGTCGGACCCTGGCCATATAGGGCTTTAAAGGTAATTACCAGCACCTTGAAGCGAATTCAGAATGCTATTGGCAGCCAGTGCAGTGCTTTCAGTGCAGGCTGGATGTGCTCCCATCTAGGGAGACCCATCAGGAACCTGGCCGCAGCATTCTGCACTAACTGCAGCTACCGAATTTGCGACAAAGGCAACCCCATGTAGAGAGCGTTACAGTAGTCTAATCTCGAGGTGATCGTCGCATGGATCACTGTGGCCAGGTCGTTGCGGTCGAGGAAGGGAACCAACTGCTGAATCAGCTGAAGGTGGTAAAAGGCCAAGCCGGCAGTGGCTGCCACCTGGGCCTCCATAGTTAAGGAGGAATCCGGGAGCACTCCCAGACTCCAAACCTCCGACGCTGGCACCAAAGGCGCCCCATCGAAGGTCGGGAGAGGGATCCCCGTCCCCAGACCACCCCGACTCAGGCACAGGACCTCCGCCTTCGCTGAGTTTAGTTTCAATTGGCTCAGTCTAAGCCAACCAGCCACGGCTTGCAGTGCCCGGTTCAGGTCTTCTGGACTGGAGTCCGACTGACCACCCAACATCAGATAGAGCTGGGTGTCATCTGCATACTGATGGCACCCTAGCCCATACCTCCGGGCAATCTGGGCAAGGGGGCACATATAGATGTTAAACAACATTGGGGAAAGCACCGCCCCCTGAGGCACACTGCATTCAAGCGGGTGTCTTTGGGACTGCTGTTCCCCTAGTGCCACCCTTTGTCCCCGACCCTGGAGAAAAGAGGCAAGCCATTGAAGGGCCAGCCCCTGTATCCCTGTGTTGGCGAGGCGGTGGGTCAGCAGCTGGTGGTCGACCATGTCAAACGCAACCGACAGATCTAACAACAACAGTAGTGCCACCCCGCCTTGATCCAGATGCCTCTGGAGGTCGTCAGTAAGGGCGAACAGTGCTGTCTCCGTCCCATGCCCTGGGCAAAAGCTGGACTGGAAGGGGTCTAAGGTGGAAACGTCATCCGGGAAGCCCTGTAGCTGTATCGCCACCGCCCTCTCAATTAATTCACCCAAATAGGGCAAATTGGAAACCGGCTGATAGTTGGCCAATTCGGCCAGATCCAATTATGTTTTTTTCAGGAGGGGGTGGACCATCGTTTCCTTGAGTGCCCCCGGGAACCGCTCCTCAGAAAGTTTGTTCATCCCCTCAAAGAACTCTAAAAGGTTAATGAGATAAAATCTTTAATAACAGATTCCACCAATTTACCCGGTAAGACTGTCCTGTAATATCCCGGATCTCCTCTGGAACTTTTTTTAAAACTTGGGGGTTACATTGGCTACCTTCCAGTCTTTGGGAATGGAGGCAGATTTTAGTGATAGATTGTCTTAATCTCCCTTTGAAGTTTCTGTTTTGAGGACTGCGACTCTTCATGTAATTCTTGATGAAATTTAGGTTTATAGGTTACTTGACTTGGCCACTTCTATTTAAATGTGGATTTGAAACATTATTTGCAGTGCAGCCACACAAGAGTAATGGCTGACATATCATGTGGGCAGGGAACTGTGTTTAAGTTCTATATACAACAATAAAACTTAACTGAAAGAAAAATAGTGGAGTGGATTCTATCCCTATACCACTTCTAGTGAGCCAAATGTGTTTATTGAAATATTTACAGACAGCCACACAAACTTGCACTGGTCTTATAGTGAGTTTAATGCTAAGCAGAGTTACAGTCTTCTATACTTATTGCCTCTTATTGCTTCAGAAGGTTGTTAACTCTGTTTAGGATTGCACTGTCATTGTCTTTAACAAGGAACTACAGTTACTGTTTTTGTTGTTAGTTATCTTATGTTTCTGTGGTGCAATAAAGGGCTTCATGATATTGAATGAAGTTTCCTAAAGTTGGTTTATTTCAGAAACAGAAGTTAGCAGGACTCAAACCTGGCTGCGAATCATGTTTAGAAACTCTCCATGTGATTTTTAGAAAGGTAGGAACTAGTTATGATTATGTAAATAAACATTCGGTATATTCCCGAAGGTGCACTGCAGGTTCCAGGACCAAGCCCTGGTGTTGAAAACAGTTCTGGGAGTTAGTCTCTTACTGTAATTTGCTAATGTATCCTGCAAGATGTGAGTTTTTGTTTTGTTTTAACTTGTCCTATTTTTATTGCACTTGGTGCCTTAATTGTTTTAATCCTGTTGTATTTTATTACACAGCTGTGCCTATGTAAGTCGCCCTGAGCCCGCTTGCGGGGAGGGCGAGGTATAAGTGAAATAAAATAAAAATAAATAAATAAATAAATATGGTAGTGGGGATGATGCAAAATTGGGATTAAAAAAACAAAACCCATTAATTCTCATAAACTTGCAATAATTTTTTTAAATATCTGTTTATTGAATTTCAAACTTCATCGTAATACATTAAATACAAAGAATTAACATTAAATTTCCGATAAAATTGATTAAGCACACAAAGAAACAAAACTACAGAAAAACTAAAAATAAATGTTTGTCCGCCTTTCCTAGAAGCCCAGCAATTTCAGGTTCACGGGAGTACGCCAGGATGACGCCCTCATCAGAAAGTCGGATCAGGATTCCCCTCAGTGATAGGTCTGGATTGGGAGTTATCTCTCTCACTCCCCTCGAGCACCCATGGAGAGCCCCTGTCTTGAGTGCGAGTTAAATTCACTCCATCTGTCATCAGCTGACCGCTCCATCCTTCCTCCTCGAGTTCACCTGTTCCATTTTTATTTCTGATACATTGAAGACATCTTCCCCGCGTGCTCCCCATAACCATTTCTTAAAGTACCCAGACCAGTTATCTATCTTTCGCGCCTCCCGCCCCGGTTCTACTAGGTTGCCACCCCGTTTCTTTTCTATCCATACTTTGTCGAAACCCCCAGCGAGTGCCCCTCCCGTGCTTCCCTCCTTGTCCTGAAGGACCTCCTCTTTCTGGTTGTTTTGACAACACCCCGACTCCTCCGGGGAAGGGTCGCTGGTTATCTCTCCCTGGCTCTCTCCTGTAAAGGGGGATAGCTCCGGCATAGTCGGGGGGTCTGTGATTGCGCCCTCCCGACAATGTTATTCAGTTGATGACACTGAGAGCCCTATCAAGTTAAAAGACTGCGCAACCCATTATGTCTAACTAAGCTTCAAATACTGAAAACACAGGTAACATACTCTCACCCTAAGACAAGCATCTTAAATTTTGGTGACTTTATGTGTTCCCAATCGAACTTGTCCAAATTCATTTTATCAGTAATTGGAAAACACACGTCAAAATGTCTCATTCGACTCTAATACAAGAGGCGGCTCTCAAAGTTCTTCATAGGTGGTATCTAACACCTGCAAGGCTGTCCCATATACACGCTCATTCGTCCCAACTCTGCTGGAAGCGCTGCGGCTCAAAAGCTACATTTATCCACACTTGGTGGGAATGTCCTTTAGTAGCAGATTACTGGAAGCAGATTATTTCTAACATTCAAACCCTTACAGGATATGATTTACCCTACAATCCAAAGGTGATTTTGTTGCACCTTTGGCCTGATGATGGTCCGCCTGAGAACAGGAGACAGTTGATTAATATTTTAGTAATTGCCAGAAAGATCTCTCTGGCAAGTAAATGGAAAACAGACTCCCTCCCGACCATGCAGCAATGGCTACATAAAGTGTGGGATTTCTTTCTTCAGGAGAAAGCATCTATATGGCTAAGTAATAAAGACACAGAACGTCACTTACTAAACCCTTTAGATAAATGGGCTCCAATAAACTTGCAATAAATAGTAAAGCAAAGCAACAACAAAATGCCTCAAGAGATTTGTAATAATAAAATCAATAATAGTTTCTAATCGGCGTTGCAGTATCAGTGGGCCCTCCGAGATTTCTGGAAAGCAGCGAAGAGCAAGCATAATGGCTGCATGCAACGGCAGGAGTGTAATGAAGCAACTCTCCAGTAATGTGACTATTCACAAACGACCCACCCACATTTATCAACGCCTGTAGCGGTCTACTAGCGACTGACGTCGAACTCAGGAGACTGGTCTACATTTCGGAGAATCCCACGTAAAAATTGGTGGAGACCCTAACAATTTAATTTTACAACATCGAAAGAGTTTATTGTCTGACTACTCCGATACCTCCTCCTCCTCTACTTGCGGTTGGAAGGTCCTATTCTTTATGCAGGGTACACTACAGATTATGCGTAACTCATTATTTCCCTGCAGCTTTTACGCAAGATCGGGATTTCCCGCTTACCTACGCTAAACCCGGCTCAGAAAGAGCGGCAGATACAGAGATTACGGAGGGGAGTAATTTTCCGTATTGCATTTCGTAGCAAGGTTCTTCCTCAGGCGTCTCCTAACAATGTAGGATAAGCACTTTTCGCAGACGACGTTTGGGAATAGAAACTGAATTTTCCACACAAAGAAGTAACTCAGAAACATTGTTACGTTCTTTCCGTATAGCGTCTCTGCTGAATCTGCTCTTTAGAGGTCGGCCAACGTACGCGGATGATTTTTGAGAATAGACGTAACGACATTCTTTCCCGCCTCCCCGGCTATTCAGGAACGTAATTTACGCACACATCGGGTAGACCGGTAACGTAAGAAGAGGCGAGCTAGGGTGACGGCGGCCATTTTGTGAGTGGAGACCGGGAGAGAAAGACAATCCTGTCTCTATCGCGAACCGGTTTTTGGTTTTCTTTAGCCCGTCTGAGGGAACCGAAATCAAATCTAGCCGGCTCTGCAGCTCAGGAAACACGGCTGCTAAGTTTAACTCCACAAAAATAGAGCGGTAGCAGCAGAAACCAGTAGCAGCTGCGGTTGGGCCTCCTGGTCTCCAGCTCGTCCACCCACATAGCCTTGCGCGGCGGCCTCCTTCGGCCTGAGAAGATGCGGGGCTTCGGGGACCGAGGCCGCGACCGGGACCGCGGCGGGTAAGAAGGGTCGTGGAAGGAGGGTGGGCCGCCCGCCCTACGGAACTTGCTGCCTCCCACCCCGCCAGTGTGTGGAGCCTTCTCGGGGCCTTGGCGGGCAGGAATTGACCAGGCGCCTTTTCCTGTCGGGAAATACTGCCCTGCTGAATGTCTGCCCATTATTTAGCTATCAAGCCACAAGAGGTCCTCCGTAAATTGAGGGCGGGGGAAGAAAAGGGAATGGCGCAGACTTTTTTTTTTTGGCTTGATTGCAGATTTGCACTCCTGTCCATACTCTGTTGAGGAAGCCCTATTGAAATCAGTGTAGTACTTCTGAATAAGCGTGTAGGGGTGACCGGCGGCGGAATTAGAGGGGAGTTATGACTGCCAGTCCCCCTCCTCCGGAGGGGGTATGCTGGTATCGAAAATTGACTTTCGTCGATGGGGAAGACTTCACCCGCTAACTTTAGGATTCAGAGGATCTGTCCAATAAAAAAAAAAGTTGGGAATTGGATGTTTTTGAGTGGGAAGTATTGTCACAATATGGAGGCAAAAGTATGGGCGGGGAGGGTGCCCCGTGTAAGCCTACGAAGGGCGGAGATCTGGGGACAGAAGCGAGGAGGTAGAACGAAGGAGGGAACTGCAGGCACGGCGGACTGTTTCCCCCTCCCCCTTTCCTGGCTGTTTTTTTTTTAAAATTAAATTAGCGCCTCTGAAGGTAGTCTCTTCTTGTGACGAATTGCCCATCGCGATCATCGGACAGATTCTTCACATTTTCGCTTCCTCCTGTCCCCACGCATTATCATTTTTCTCTGGGTAGGGTGGGACACCTTATAGAAGCCGGTGTGGGTTTTTTTTCTTTCTGGTGGCAGAATCTCTTTGCAGAGGCCATTAAAATAGTCTGTGAATGTTACTTATGCAGCCAGAATGGGTGTAATTCTGTTAAGATCATTGTGATTCAAGTCCTTCCTTGTCTTTGAGAATGGTGAGAGGACTCTTAATTTCATTCTGGGTCTTTTGGATTTCTAGGCCTCATAGTCACATTTGTATTTGTTATGGCTATCTAATGTCTTAGTCCAGAATAACAGTGCAGAAGTAAAATAGTTTTGATTCTTATTTAATTTGCTCATCATGTAGCTTCAGTCTATGCTGCAACCCTTTGCTTGTTAGGAAACAGTTCTGTTTGTGTTCAGGAGACAGATGCCATGTGAACTTTTCTGGGATCACCTGACTCAGTGTGTGTGTGTGTGTGTGTGTGTGTGTGTGTGTGTGTGTGTGTGTGAAGTGCTGTCAAGTTGTTTCTGACTTGGTGACCCTGTGTATTAATGTCCTCCAAAACATCTTCTCATTAACAGCCTTGCTGAGGTCTTGCAAGCTCATGTTGGGTCTTCCTCTTTTCTTGCTGCCTTCATTTTTTCCTGGTATTATTGTCTTTTCTAGTGACGCTTGTCTTCTCATAATGTAACCAAAGTATGATAATCTCAGTTATTGTGTTTCATATTGAGAATAAAGACAATTCTCCCTTCAACCATGGTAGCATCAGTGCTGGTTAAGTTTTGTCCTGGTATAGTGTGGGGGTTAGCACTATGGTAATTATTTTTGTGCTACTTTTTTCTGCATGGCCCTTACTGATTCTGCCAGTCTTTTTGAACTAGCAGTAGTCATTATGGGAATCAGCACATTAATTGTTTGACTTGTAGGTGCTGAATTAGAATGGCTGTTGCACAAAGTTGCTAGTATGTCTATCAGAAAGCATAATTGAGTGGAAACCTGCAGCTTCTTTCTTGAGATTGTTAAATCAGCTCAAGACAAATGTCATGATTGACATGTTCTTGTTGTGGGCTCCTTAATTAAATTCAGAAATGATGTGTTGAAGAAAAATTGTGCCTTGCATTGTAGGTCTCAGGAGAGTGACAGTAGCTCCTTTGGGAAGAAGGTGGGGTGTATCTTCTGAAACAAACTTTTTTGCAAGTGCATGATAGTCAAGACAGAGCTTTTACTTGCAAGGTTGTGAAACTGATTAATTGCTGTGTTTGTGCTTGAGGGGTGACATGATCGAGGTTTATAAGATTATGCATGGGATAGAGCAGGTTGAGAAAGAAGTACTTTCCTCCCTTTCTCACAATATAAGGACTCATGGGCACTCAGTGAAATTGCCGAGCAGTCGGGTTAGAACAGATAAAAGGAAGTACTTCTTCACCCAAAGAGTGATTAACACATGGAATTCACTGCCACAGGAGGTGGTGGCGGCTACAAGCATGGACAGCTTCAAGAGGAAATTAGATAAGCATATGGAGCAGAGGTCCATCAGTGGCTATTAGCCACAAGGTATAGATAGGAACTCTCAGGCTGGGGCTAGTGATGCTCTGTAGTCTTGGTGCTTGGGGTGGGCAACAGTGGGAGGGCTCCTAGTGTCCTGGCCCCACTGCTGGACCTCCTGATGGCACCTGGTAGTTTTGGCCACTGTGTGACAGAATGTTGGACTAGATGGGCCTTTGGCCTGATCCACCATTGGCTTCTCTTATGTTCTTATGTTCAGTGGCATTTGGAACCAGTTGCTTGTTGCTAAATTAACCATGAAAATGGTTTACAAAATTATCTTGTCTTTCACATATGGTATTTCTTTTCAAAGTTCTGCACTATAATTTGAAATTTAGCTTCCGCTGGAAAGTAATGTTAGGAAAATACTCAGCATTTCTAAATGACCATCCATACTTAAAATGAACTGGAATAGTTTTGATTCTTTACTGTTATAGTAGAAAAAATTATGTACAGTAAATGCTTGGTGTTTTCAGTATCTTCTGAAGTAGAGCAGCTTTGTTCTATGTGAATAATGGTGGTGCTGTGTCTTGGTTTTCTCTCCCCAGGTGTCTTCTTTTTGTTCTTTATTTGTTGGCTAACAATACCATGTGGCGAATGGTAAAAGAATGAAAGTTGATGTTTTAGGTAGTACTTTCCCCCCATATTTGATAGTGTTTCTTAGATTAAGCAATATTACAGTACTTAAGAAATCCACAGAAAAGAGTTTCTTAAATATTTTTGTAAAATACTTTCTGTAAAGAGTTGTTACTGTGTCTCCCCCCTCCCCCTGGCCAGGTTTGGCAGTCCTCTTCCTCCCAAGAAATTTGGAAACCCAGGCGAACGGCTGCGTAAGAAGAAATGGGACTTGAACGAGTTGCCCAAGTTTGAAAAGAACTTCTATGTCGAACATCCAGAAGTGGCCAGACTCACTCCAGTAAGTGTTGTTTGTTCTTTTCAAGCTTGGAAGCTTTCCTAGTTTTAATCTTTCCAACTGAATGCTGTCCGGACTGTGAAAATGACTAGGAGTTTGTGTACAGATTAGTTTGCTAACGTATAAACTATACTAGTTCGCAACAGGGGCATAGCTAGAAAATTTTGGTTGGTGGGGTGTTGGGAAATCCGGGGGGGGGGGGGGAGAGAGGGAGAGACTGTCAGCAGGCAGCTGGTGGAGCCCTTCCCCCCCTTTCCATGCTAGGCGACCCACCTCCTCTTGCTGGCTCACCGACCCCTGCCTGTGCCCTTGCCGCGGAGGGAGGATCTCCCCAAAGCCAAGCTGTGGAGCTGCATGGGGAGAGCCTGCTGCTAGCCCCGACCTTGGCCTCAGTGCCTGCATGAAGGGAGGAGTCATGTGACCCAGCCACCACAACTCCTCCCCTGGTGCAGGTGTACTGCAGAGAGACCTGCTGGCCTGCCTGATCCACCTGCTTGGCTTGCTCACCTCCTGCCCTGGCTGGTGCCTGACCTGGGAAAAGGAGAGCCGGCCTGAGTGTGCTCTCCGCTGCAGAGCAGAGTGCACCACTGGCTCTCCTCCTGTAGTGAGGCAAACGAGCGCGGCCAGTGCTCCCACCTTTTGGGGTGGGGTGTGGTCCCAAAATGCCCCACCGTAGCTACGCCCCTGGTTCGTAATCACTTATTATCTATATACTAATAGCGAAAGGCGCCCCTTGCGTGCGGATATCTAAATCCGCACATCAGGGGCACCTAGGGGGCAGGGAGATTTTCCTGCACACTTGGGACAGTCCCCAGGTGTGCACAAAAATCTAAAAACTTGAAAAAAATATCGGGGGGATATTTAAATCCCCTCAAAAGTAAAAGAGCCTTCCCTGCGCATGCGCAGGGAACGCTCTGGGAACTGCGGCAGGCTGGCGGTTGGAAGCCGCTCAGGCCTCGCCGCAAGAGCAGGGGGAGGGAGGAGTTCAGCAGCTGCGGAGGAGGAGATCGCCAGAGCCAGCGGGAAGGGAAAGAAGACCATTGGCGAGGCCCGGTGGCTGCAAGCTGCTTGGGCCTCCCCGCCGGAGCCTGGGGTGGGGGAAATGGAACTAACAGAGCCAGTTTGGTGTACTGAAGTGTGCAGACTCTAATCTGGGAGAACCGGGTTTGATTCCCCACTCCTCCACTTGCACCTGGCTGGATGACCTTGGGCAAGCCGTAGTTCTGATAAGAGCTGTTCTTGAAAAAGAGCAGTTTCTGTCAGAGCTCTCTCAGCCCCACCTACCTCACAGGGTGTCTGTTGTGGGGAGGGGAATGGAAAGGAGTTTGTAAGCCACTCTGAGACATCTTTGGGTAGTGAAGGGCAGGATATAAATCCAATCTCTTCTTCTTTTCTTAGTTCTTTCATTACCATATAGCTGTTAGATCAGAAAGAGCTAAAGCTCACATAAATATGTTCTGTTAAAGTTTGATATGAATTGTATACACTGATAGAAATAAAGGGACTAACAGTTTGTTTGCTTCCTTAAACAGTATGAGGTTGATGAACTAAGAAGAAAGAAAGAGATCACAGTTAGAGGAGCAGATGTGTGCCCCAAGCCTGTATTTGCCTTCCACCAGTGTAACTTCCCACGTGAGTATTCTGCCAAATAGTTAAGCAAGGTATTGGAAAAGGGGGCATTTATATGTCAGTTTTTGGCACCAAGGTACCCCCAAAGCAATTCATAATTGCCATGGAGACAATAGTGGATAAAACAGAGAATCATAGTCACAATGAGTACAATAAATACAAGCACAGAAATTATACAATTAATAAAATTAGGAGTAGGATGAAAATTGAACATGAGCTTATAAAAATGTTCCTATCCCTCCTATAGATGATAAAGGTAATCTTAACCAAAAGCTTGCTGAAGAGCTTGTTTACAATCCTCCTAAATATTAAAAGAGAAATGGCCCAGTGTGTCTTTTTGTAGTGTGTCACCAGTGGGAAATTACTTTTGCATGTCATCACCTGCCAGACCTCTTCAAAGATCTGTTATGAGTGTCTTTGTAGGCTCATATCAGAGAAGGCAGCATCCTGGGTCCAAATCATCATGGCTTTAAAGGACTAAACCAATTTTGAACTGACCTTGGAAAGAAATTACTAGCTAATTAAGTTGGTACAAATTCATTGTAATAGGACTGATGTACTGTGCTGTAGATAATAATGGAGCAGCCACATCTTGGACTAAGTGAAGTTTCAAAGAACTTTTCAGGGACATCTCAAAACATGTTTCAGTAGTGTAGTGTGGAGATCACTAAGCTGTGCATAAGTGTTGCCAGGTTAGGTTTTTCGAGGAAAAGTCACAGTAGGTATACCTGCCTAAACTGATCAACTGTCATTCTGGTAGCTGCTGCTACGTGTTCATACAGGAGCATGGTCAGCTCAAGGAGTACACCTGAACTGCAAACCAGAGTCTTCAGGTATAGTCAATCCAGTTCAAAACAGGTTAAATACAGTCCGGTTCCCCTGGACCAGCAGTGCCTGTGTTTTGCCTGGAGTAAGCTTCAGCCTGTTCCCTTTCAGTTTCTTTATTCACATATCTGCCAAATCCAGTGCAGGGTCAGATGAAATCATACTCTCTGTGTCGATAATACCATACCACAGACCCTTTGATTTTCTCAAGTGGTTTCATATAGATGTTAAATAAAGAGAAGATGGAAAGCCCTGTAGGACTGGAACCACCTTAACACAGATTCTCAATAGGTGAACTATACCACCATCGATAGTATTGAAATCTTAGATTATTTCTGTTGCTTAGTCATGTTTGACTTTAGAAGGTAATCTTAGAATGTAGCTTTGGGGGAACTATGCTGTGATTTTTAACTCTGGAAGAAATTTATTTATGGAGAACCTAATTCATGTAACAAGGATTATGTATACACCTCACTGTTCTTGATTTTATTTGTGTCTTTTTCTCTGACTTTTAGAATATGTAATGGATGTCTTGATGGATCAGCATTTCACAGAACCAACCCCAATTCAGTGTCAGGGCTTCCCGTTAGCCCTCAGTGGTCGTGATATGGTGGGCATTGCACAGACTGGCTCTGGGAAGACATTGGCGGTACGTTGTTTTTTCATTTTCTGTGGGATTACTTTTTATGATCTGTCTTTTCTGTACCAAGGCTAGATCCTGAATTTTCCCACACATCTTAATACATCCTTTGTAAGCTGTTGTGGCAGGGTTCTTGGTAAATGGGAGGATGTACAGTTATAATTGAAGTCCGAACTTCAAGGGTGATATGAAATGGGAGAAATGGACTCCTGTGTCACATGGCCCAATCTTAAGTATGTATGTTTAGAAGCAAGTTTCATTTTTTTCGGTGGAACAGTTGCAGGTAAGAGTGAATAGGGTCCCAGCCTTTGGATAGGGACAATGTTTTGCTTGTACTTGGACACGTCCCATTGTTAATGAAAACTGCTACCACATATGTCCTTAGACAAAGCCTTGAAAATGGTAAAAGAAGCATTCAAAAGCACCGCAGTTATTCACAGATGTTTGGAGTTGTGAAAATTACAAAGAGGAGTATGTGTACAAGAAGTTTTTATTCCTCTTTAGTATTAATATCATTATGAGTGTTGTAGCTGCATTCTCTCTTGCAAGCCTGTCCTGAACTGCAGCCTGTCACTATCATCTGCTGTTCCTCCTCCTTTCCTTCCTACACCAGCATCAATACTTAGCTTGGTTCAGCAAGTGAGATCTGAAACTTCACTATTGTAGATATGATGTGAATGAATTTTAACTGTCCCCCATTACTGCAGCCTCACAGTTATGGTGAGGATCAGTTTGGCTATTCTCAGGTATTGAGAGTACATAGTTTCTGAACTGAACAGAAAACATACCTTCCTCTGTTATGTTGAAGTGGATGTTCTTAGCTTCTGGTAAGACGCCAGTTTGATGTTTTGAGGCAGGATTTTAGAAATGGATATACAGCTACTGTACAACAATAAACCACAGCCTGTTGTGATCTCTAATGTATGCTGTTTTCCCTGTTTCAGTATTTGCTACCTGCAATTGTTCACATCAATCACCAGCCGTATTTGGAAAGAGGGGATGGTCCAATTGTGAGTACTTTTTTGTGGGCTGTCTCCCCCCCCCCCCCCCCCCCCGGGTTGTGTGTTGTATGCTGGTTTGTCATACCATATTGTGGATCTTTTGTAAATGGTGGTACTATGAGCTTTCCTTCTATTGTTTAAACAGATACCTGTTTGTAGTGTGGTATTTAGTATTCTGGGTTTCTTTTTGCAGTGCTTAGTTCTGGCTCCTACCCGAGAACTGGCTCAGCAAGTCCAACAAGTAGCAGATGATTATGGTAAATGTTCAAGGCTGAAGAGTACCTGTATATATGGAGGAGCACCCAAAGGTCCTCAAATCAGAGACCTGGAGAGAGGTAATTGACAGCTTTTGGAATTCTATTATAATCCTAAGCAGTTACACCTTTCTAAGCTCATGAAAGTCTGTTGACCCTAAGTGAATGTTCATTTGTTTAGATTTTTTTTTTTTCAAACCACCTTCTCCCAACAAGCTGGGCTCAGAGAGGTGTACAACATCAGTTAAATATCAATAACACTGGTTATATAGGTATATGTAAGTAATGCCAGTAAAGGTTGCCTTTGAACTATGAAGTTATCTTAATTATGGCCACAGTGGAAGATACATCTGTTCAAATCAAATAAAAATACTATTCTGCAGAGACAGGTTTATTTGAATTTTTTAGTCCGTTTAATATGTCAAATTTTAATTTAACTTGCCTGTAATGTGCATATTAAGAGTTATGGACTAGAAAAGGTTCAGCTTCACTATAAGCGAAGATACATGTGTAATCATGCTCAACAATGGTATTTTTATGTTTGAGATGAAGTCATGAGATAAGAACATAAACCCAGGTGATGGCAAGCTTGACTGGTACAATATAAAATTGAAGGTCTAAGTGATTTTATTCCGTGTCTCCTCCAGGTGTTGAAATTTGTATTGCTACGCCTGGACGTCTGATTGACTTTCTGGAAGCAGGAAAAACCAACCTCCGCCGTTGTACATATCTTGTATTGGATGAAGCTGACCGAATGCTGGATATGGGTTTTGAACCTCAAATCCGCAAAATTGTTGATCAGATACGGGTATGTAAAATTTTTGTTCTTCTTAATTTTTTTTTATAACAAATTCACATTTGTATGCCATGTAACCTGTCCTTCCTCTCAGCCTGACAGGCAGACTCTTATGTGGAGTGCCACTTGGCCAAAGGAGGTGCGGCAGCTGGCAGAGGACTTTTTACACGACTATGTCCAGATCAACGTGGGCAACTTGGAACTGAGTGCTAATCATAATATCCTGCAAATAGTGGATGTGTGCATGGAGAGCGAGAAGGACCATAAGTATGGATGCTGCTGTACTATCCTCAATTATTTTTTTTTGCATGTTCAGAATCTTTTTATCTGTAATATTGTTTGGCTAGACCAGATCAGTCAGACTGGTGAAATTTAAGTATATATTGACAACTATTTTTATCCTTTTTTCCATTTCTAATGGAACCTTTGAAGCACTTGCAGAAAGAAATCCATAAAATAGAGTTACCAGTATAAATATTTAAGTCATTCTTAAAACTGAACTTAAACCCAGTCACTTCTTCTATAAGTATCCACTAGCTTAAGAAAACAGTTAACTTGCTTTTTTAAACGCTGTTCATAACTATTTAATAATTGTGGTATCAAAATGAGCTTTTCTGCTTACTATCTCAAAATGAATAAACTCAGGTATAATTTGTAGGGTTTTTATTTATTTGTTAATAGGTTGATACAACTAATGGAAGAAATTATGGCTGAAAAAGAGAACAAGACTATCATCTTTGTGGAGACAAAAAGACGATGTGATGATCTAACTCGAAGGATGCGTAGAGATGGGTAGGTCTTGTGGTCTTAATTTGAATTGGTGTATTGCAGATGAAGAACTTTGAGAAGCTCGAAGGATCATTTTGGCAGTCCTGCATTGTTGCAGTGATGATGTTCACATGAATGCTTGCTTTGTTTGATTTGTAATGAAACCCAGGCATCAAAAGGAGTGATATGAGTTCCTGTCTAGAAATTGTTGAATTCTGCTCTCTGTGTGAGAAGCTAGGGTCTGCATGTTTATAAGACCTATATTAAAGTAGCTTAAAAGCAATTGTTTGTTAATGAAATTAGTTACAAATAGTGGGTTACTGGATACCCAAATGGATGAGCTACAGCAGAACCAGAACCACATGCATGAGTGAGGAGTAAAGTATTAGGAAGGGAGAGGACTAAAAAGAAGTTATTTATAAAATGTTCTAAACCACTTGGGTAAAGCTCTGTGGACAAAAAGCGGGATGTAAATATAATAAAAAAGGAAAACTCTGGAAGTCTGAACGGATAGGTTAGTCTGTGAACTAAGAAATAATTAACCACCAATATGATAGCACATACTCAGAAATATGCAAACTGTAATTGGAGAGCACAAACTGAGAAGGCGAGAAAGCATGCGGTTCTTCCCAGATGTTTGTTGCCTGGGCAGAGAGTTCTCTATCTCCTTAGCTTATACCCTGGTCATATTTGGCTGTACATCTGAAAGGTGTCCATTATCATGTTTCTTACTCTATCTTAAAATCAGTGCAACCCCATGTCTTGATTACTTAAATTGGTCCGCATTAGCTTGTTAAACTAAATATTGACAGCTTTCAGGTTTTGAACTTTCTGCCTGCGCTATCTAAAACATCTTAAAATATTTTGTTTTGTTAGGTGGCCAGCTATGTGTATTCATGGAGACAAGAGTCAGCCAGAAAGAGATTGGGTGCTTAATGGTGAGTAGAAGGAGGAATCTGTCTGGCTTACCCAAACACTTAAAAAAACCAACCTTCTGAATTGTGTTATTTACAAGTAGTACAGTAATATAGGTTCATAGATTCTATCTATATGCTGAGCATACTTGCTGTTTAGCTTTTACAAATATTAGTTTCTGTGTTGAGCTTAAATCTGTAATGTACTTTCTTGATGGACTGCAGTAATTAGTGTTTTTTAGAGCTAGCCAAGGAAAGTTATTTCCTGCAGTCCTAGTGTGGGTCTCATGCTTGGCGTTCAGGACTTGTACTGGACTTGTACTGGAACCATCAGAATCAAAGAGAAATGTGTGTAGTGTTAAATATTATTTTGTGATTCAAAGAGTTATGTCAGGATTGGTTCTTTTCTTTCAGAATTCCGTTCTGGAAAAGCTCCTATCCTAATTGCTACGGATGTTGCATCTCGTGGGCTAGGTTTGTACACATGTGCTTCTCTGCCTGCTTCTCAGGTCATTTCTTTAAATTCAGAAGTTCTTTTCCCAAAGAATTTAAAGCGTGATTTTCCCCCACATGTGAAATGCCTTTTTTAACCTTAATCTTTTTTTTTTCTTTCATATTCAAAGTCCTCTTCCTGCTCCTAACGAACAGGCTTTGGTCTTCAGCAAGGCCTAGGCATGACTAATCGATCGCCAGTGGGGAGAAGAGACGTCCAATTACTCAGCCCAATCCTACCTCACCCACCTCCTTTCCAGCTCCAGCTTTGTGTCTGGATGGCTAGGACTGGACTGCATCCAATGAGCTGTTGGTTAGAATTATTAGGTAGAAGAGCGAACCCCTTAAAAGAAATCCTTTTTTACCCAAATGCATTACTAACGTAATTGCACCATAAAAGCCTTGCCTAGATAGACCTCACCCTTCTCTTGTTTCACTTATGTGAGCATATTTGGTATTTTCACTCACAAGCATTCTGCCTCACTTGTCCTCCTATACTGGATTAATGAGGTCATAGTAAAAGCCACCAAATGCTTTCTCATAGTGAGAATGTATCTTAGTCTACTTTAAGGGGTGCAAAATTTGTTCTCTTGAATGCTTGAGTGAACAGTACTTCACCAAGGATATCTGTATTCTCTGATTCTTGTGGGTTCAGAAATGTCAGACCCCCTTGTACAAAATGACAAATATGGCAGTAGCCACACCTTGGAGCTATTCAGTAGTGTCGAGTTCCAGTGGGCTGGCCCATTGTGACTGATGTTAGAGTGACTCAGTGAAAATAATCTCATATGTGGTTTGTAGGGACTTCTTTTAAATATGTGGACCTTTTGTCACCCAAAATTCTTTAAGTGATGAAAAGATAGCTTGTTCGTAGTGCATCTTATATATTGTAAACAGATTAGGAGCCTTTACTCTCATAACCTTCATTCTCCCACCCCATCCCCTAAATTGTCCAGTGCTTCTCTGAGAGATGTTCATATGGATTTCAAGTCTCTGTCCTCTGGGGTCATGTCTGGACCTGTGCAGGTAGAACTTGGGCCCGTTAGGAGAAGGGGTAAAGCCAGAATTGGTGTTGTTTTTTCTAAGTAAAAGACAATATTGTTTTCTTTGGCATTCATTTTTAAACAGGCTTGCTGTGTGCTGGTAGCTTCTTTGTGCATCTTGCCTAGACACTTTAAAAACAGCCCTACTCCTCATATAGATCCCCAAAACAACTCATTTGGATACTATTTAAAGAAAACAGTCTTCCCGCTCTGCCTTCTCCACTTCACTGAGGCTGTGGGGAAAAGGTACCAGAGTCTGTTTCTTGTTACTAAATAACATCTTGGCTTGTTTTGGGGCCCAGAATTTGCTGCTTTTATAAAACAAAAAAATAGTACCTAACCAGCAAATCTCTGGACGAATTCCTCCAAGTTCCTGGAAAGTGAAGGCTTCTACCTAAAATATAGAACAGGGGCGCGCACTTTTTGGTTGAGTCACCAGGGTTTTCCCCTCTTCCCAGTGGAACACTGGTTTCAGAAAGCTCCTTCCAGGTAAGTTGAGTCCCCCATAATGGCTTCTTTGTGAATGAACCCCGAACGAGAAGACTTCCCTCTGCACTGTTTCTCATTAAAAATTGGTTACAGTTCACTCTGTTAAAGTCAAATCATTAAATTTCTTTTTGTTTGTTTTCTTTAACAGAAACTTTGATATCAGCTGCCGATCACTCAGTGCAGGTCTGGGGACATATCTACATTGGTGGTCGAAGCAGCTCTCTAGATGATCGTGTTTGCTAATTTCTACCCCTCCCAATTTACGTTCAGACATTCAGTCCTTTTCCGGGGGCATCTCAGTGGGTATGCATCCCCAGATAGTCAGGTTCCTTTTTAGAAGGACCAAGTTTCTTGGAAGAAATATTGTGATGAGCACGATTTACATCAGTGCAAACTCAATTAAGAGAAAAATCTACTTTTTACTGCATGTTTCCCCTACCTCCCACCCTGCACACTATTCATATCATGGGCATATCAGTCAGCTCCACCTGTCTAAGGTGGAAATTGCCCCAGTGCCTCTCTTCCTGCTTTTCCTTGGTGTCCTTCCATGGATTTTCCACCCAAATCTACTCATTGATCCCTTCATTGTTAACTGACAGAGATCCTGTGCTTTCTAAAAAGAAGTGATTTTTGGTATTCACTGTGGCTACTTTGCTAATGGATGTTCACAATCGGATTGGCTGGGGCCATGTAGCCTACAGTCTGTCAGACTCCAGTTAAATCCCAGATGTGAAGACGTGAATGTACTGAGTGTTTTACCCTGCCCTTCCCTAATATTTGCCCTCTGAGATATTTGCACCAAGCTGGAGACTCGCGCTGCCCCTGTGAAATCTGCCTTCTCACTTTTTGGTGTGATTCAGGACTTTGGAGTCTGGAAAGAATGAGGAGCCCCCCCTTGCTGTAATAAGAAACAGACATAACACCCCTTTGCCACCTGTAACAACCCACTGTCCCTTTCCCCCAGTCCTTTTATTTGAAATTGATGCAGTCTGGGCAATAGATGCAGCCTTACCCTTTGGATGTAATTTTTAACATCTTCATTTTTGACAATTGCCCCCTTTAAGCCCTGTGAGGGGACAGCAAGCGTTGGAGGACCTGAAACATTTACGTGAACCCAGGTTCTCAGGCGCTTGACAACCAAATGGGGCTACAGAGAAGCATCTAAGCCAGTTCACAGAGCGAGCGTGTGTGGGGACTTCTCGCTGCCACGGACCCTTGATGCATGCTCCCCGCGCTCCAGTGGTCCCGTGTCAGAGGGCGGAGTTTTCGAAAGGAGGCCGCCAAAAATAAAAGGCAAAGAGACGGGATCGGCTGCAGCGATTTCCCACAGGAGGAGGGAGTGTGCATCGGTCTGGTAACAACAGGGAATGTTTCTCATTTTTAAAAGAAAAGTCAATCTGTGTTTTATCTTGGATATAATCTGAATATTCTCCTTAAAATGCAGATTTTTTTTGTACGTGAGCTGTTAATTTTTAATGTAAAATTGCTTTTAATATTGTTTGGCAGGGTTTTAGCAAAGCATTGTACTAACATTTACTGGGTTTCTACTCTCCACATTTCTGAAGTTTCAGGCGCTTCCTCTAGGCAATGCAGCTGGGTTTTATTAGTTCACATCAATGGCAAGCAGTTTTCTGCTAAAAATCTTACTTAGGCAGAAGTTAGTGGTGTGATTAAATGTTAGTGTTTTGCATATTTATGGAAACAAGGAGGATTAAAATAGTCTAGCCATCCTTTACCCAAACGGTGAACTTTACCGCAGCTGGGATGTCTTATGGTTGCTGGGGAGGGGAATTTTTGGAATTATTTATAGCAATTGTCAAATTTTGAAAAAGTTCTATGTTACCTTGTGATTGATTGGGAAGGTAAGTGACTTGTGATGGTAGACTTGATAGGCTTCTCCTAACAGAGTTAAGGGTGTTTAACAGTTCTTTCACTCATCCCTTCCATTTTGCTTTGTTTGTAGAAAGAGTGGCACAGTTTGTTGATACAGGTAAAATTGCCTGAAGTCCACAAGTTAATGTTCAGAGAGCTTTATGTGTATGTGTTCATGGCATGCCTACAGCAAAGGATGGGTGAATTTGAGAGTGATGAACTGCTTTAACTTCTGGAAACAAATTTTGGATTCTCATGGAAAATCTCTCAATTTAGCCTTCTGCTCTGTTGGGAAAAGTCTGTGTTGTCTTCCCTCCTTACAGCTACTAACTTTTTTCTCTTCTCTTGTTACTGTCACTTGCATTCGTACTCCCCACCTTCTGTTGGCACATCCTTCCTCCACACCCTCTCCTCAACCCCTCACTGTGCTTTGGTTGCCTCACAAGATGTGGAAGATGTAAAGTTTGTGATAAACTACGACTATCCAAACAGCTCGGAGGATTATGTGCACCGAATTGGCCGTACAGCTCGTAGCACCAACAAAGGCACTGCCTACACATTCTTCACACCTGGGAATTTGAAACAAGCTAGAGAACTGATCAAAGTGCTAGAGGAAGCCAACCAGGCCATCAATCCAAAACTGATGCAGCTTGTGGACCATAGAGGTGGTGGTGGAGGTGGAGGTAAATGTTTTGTTGTTGTTTTAGCTGCTAACTTAGATATCTTAATGGGCGGCAGTTGAGGCACAGGGTAGATTTCACTGACAGTTAATGTGCTGATGGGATATATAGGGTCATCCCTGCCAGAAGTCGAAATAGGTTGTCCATCTGTTTCCTGGAGTGTATTTACATTTGCAAAGTGTGTAACCCATTTTTCATAACATAATGTAAGTCAATACAGATTTAAGGTATAAGTTCATTAAGTATGTTTTAATTTGTTAGCCGCTTTGGTGGCCCTTATGAGTACAGAAAGGCAGAGTATACATTTTGTTAAATAAATAAATACAGACTGACATAAGAATTAAGCAGAAGAATGAAATAAAAAGGAGAGGAAGCAAAATTGTCCAGTAAAGAAATACTAGTTACCAGAATTGTCCAGTAAAGAAATGCTAGTTACCAGAATCCAATTAATACAAAAAGATTCTCACCTCTCTGCAAAATGGTGCACAGAGAAAAGCCAAGCAGATTGCTCGAACACGGGCATTCTAGAGCCTATCAGAGCTCTAGAATGCCCATATTCGAGCTATCTGCTTGGCTTTTCTCTGTGCACCATTTTGCAGAGAGATGAGAATCTTTCTGTATAAGTTGGTTTCTGAAGCAAAACTGCCCCAGCTAATATTAAAGTACAGGGAGGTTCAAAGCAGAATGTAGAGAATAGTAGAGCAACTGAAAACCTGCATTTAAATAGGAGAAGTTTAACTAATTACATGCAGTGGGAATCTCACTCTAAGGAATTTGCTCTTCATTTGTGTAAGAGAACTCTTCCCACTCACTTCATAGGCAGGGCCATACAAATTATACAGAGATTTTGTCCTTTCTGACAAGAGGCCCTCTTCAAAAACTCACATTAATCTTATATTTACATTGCATCTTTGCTTGTACTCTACATCAACTCTTAAATCCCCATCAAATGTCTTCCAGCCCCTTTGCTCTTTAAAATTTACATAAAATCAAATGTATCAAACTTCATGCTTTACAGTGTTTTATCTTAGAATTTGATAATCATATAATGTAAAAAGAGTTAATAGTTGTGAGGTAGTATCATGGTGTCCTAATGGCACTATTCTAGTATTGCAAGTATAGAAACAAATTGATCTGTGCAGAACTTTTATTTGAGATTGAGGTGCTGTATTAAAGTGAGTCACATCTATCACTAGGTGGTCGTTCTCGTTACCGAACCAGCAATTCATCCAACAACCCTAATCTGATGTATCAAGAGGAATGTGAACGAAGGCTCCGAGGTGTTAAAGATGGCCGAAGAGACTCGGGTACCTTCAGGGACCGTGATCGCGGTGACAGCTTTGCCAATGGAGCCAACAAGGCCTATGGTGGTGCATATGGAAGTACAAATTCTGCCTTTGGGGCACAGCAGGGCCAATATGGTTATGCCCAGGGGGCCTATGGAGCTGCTGCTTATGGCACAAGTGGCTATGGGGCAGAATATGGTACTGCTGGTTATGGTGGAGCCAACGCTGCCAATGCTGGGAGAAACTCACAAAGCACCAGCCAACAGCAGTATGCAGGGATGGGCCGTTCAGGCCAGCAGCCACAGCCTCTCATGTCGCAACAGTTTCCTCAGCCTCCAGGCACTAACGTGATGGGCTATATGGGACAGACTGCCGGCTACCAATATCCACCTCCTCCCCCACCCCCGCCCCCTTCACGCAAGTGAGACCATTTGGTTTACTGGCGCCAGTCAAGATTTGCAATGTAAGAACCTCCTCTTCCCTTCCTTCCCCGATCTCACCCATTGTGATGTGTTCCAATGCAGGTTAGATGTAGAGTTCACCATCCAAATTCTGCCCAAGACAGTGGTCCCCAGTCCATGTTACTGATTTTGTTTTTAAAATTAGAATTGACTGGAAAACTGACTGTGTTATAGACATACGAAGTTTGGCCTTGCATGCTTAAAGGATCTGGAATGATTTTCTCTTTTAAAAAGAAATGAAGGGGGAGAGACTTTGCAGGGCAGAAATGTCCCAGCCCAATTGTCTTTGTGTCTGAGGCTTGTGTCAGAAAACTTGCTGCAGAGAGGACATGTTCTCCATGCTGTGAACATCAAGAATTATGGTGCTATGCAGTGCTCCCTTCTTAACAGAAAACAAGAGTGTACTTTTTTCTCTAGAATTAAGACTTCATTCTTTAAATTGAAAATTGAACACAGGTATTTGGATTTGGTATAGGTGAATTCTGAAAGTATAATATGTCTAGTTTGGCTCAGCTCATGGTGCTCCAAACCCCCCTATGTGTTAGACATATTAGGTAATTTTGGTTAGCATTTCTGCAGCTCTTGGATGGTAGTAGCTGGAGGGGGAGGGTGTAAATATCAGGAGGGAGTCCTTTGTCTGTTGCAGTATACTTTCATCCCGGGCTTAACTGCAGAAAAAATAAACTGGATTTTTCTGTGGTTGTTAAATTGTCACCAACTGGATTCCACTTAAGAGATCACAAGTGGAATCTGGCCCCCAAGTATCAGCTGCCGTGGTTAAAATTGAGCTTCGGCAGAAGATAGAAAGAGACTAAGACAGTTTCTGTTAACTTGGCAATATTTCTTTTAGTAAGAAGTACTTACCGGACAGGTTCAGGATACCACAGTCCGAAATGCAATGGTTCAGTTTTTCTGTTTTACCTTAAAAGGTTTATTTAGGTCCCTGTACAGGGGGAGGTGGGGCAGAGATAGCTAATATGTCTTGAAGTGTCATTCGTACCTTCATCTGATTTGGGCTTTGCTTTTGAGTGAGCTATCCTTTGCACTCAGCTTTTACAGGTAGGTAGCAGCATTCTAGGAAATTTTAGGCAGGTATAACACTTTTATTCAATCTCTTTTTTTTTTCTTTTCTCCCCAGGCTGAGAGATTTTAGGCTGGTGGGTAGGGTGGGTTTTCTTCTAGTACTGAGGCTTATGTGTTGTGACTATTAGCAGAATGGCTGTTGATAGCTGATCTTGTAATGCATCACTTGTCACATTCAGATAATATGGCAGGAGGTGACTTGCGTCCCAATTTGAGAGGCGTAAATATTGTTGGCCACCTTATTTTCTGTTTGGGGGAGTACACAGTTCAAACAAATAAGATTGCCCAGTTATTTTATAGTTATTAGGGGCTGACTTATAAAAACTGGCGTTGTATTTGTGTTCCTCAATAGCAAGCAGGATGAGGAATGATAGATCACTTATGTGTCTGCACACAATGTACAGGTAGGTTGTTGGCACAGTCTGTGGGAGGGAAATATTTGCCAGTTTAAATTCCTCTTTTCTCATTTGACTCGCATCAGTCTAGGTCTGGAAAATCAGAGAACACTTGATGTGTCTGGCAGAAAGCGCCAATGCAAATGAACATTCATTTACTGAACTTTAATCTGCATTTCCTTCATGAAATATATCATGGAGCTATCTTTTTAGTTCACACAGAAATTAATCTACAGGTTTATGGGATGTGGGGAAACAACCTTCTGTCTTTAAAGGTAAAGGGGTTTCAGGACACTCATAACTGCTGAGTGGTCTTTGTCTTCAGTCCCTCTGCAGAGGCAGAATTTTAGGGTTTTTTGCAGTGCTTTATTGTAGCTTGAAGACTGCTGCAGCCTAGAGTCTCTCATGCTCAGCCAGAGTATTAACCATTGAATGCTTCATGGCATGTACTGCTTCTGTCCCATGTGGTGCTGCTTGGTTCCACATACCAGCTAGAGAGCCCTGTTGACAAAGCAGTAATGTCCACCATTTTCCCAGTAAGCATTTGTGGAAACAACAATTCAATATATCTTTTTACTGATAAGTTACTGTGTGGGCTTTGCTTAGTGGAAAGGTTTAGAGGCTTTATGGGTAGGATCAGTACTCTGTTTCAACTTTGACTGGTATTTGAACACATTCCTGTTTTATTAAACAAAGACTTGAATGGAGAGATTCGTAGCTCTGTGGTGTTCAGGCACAGTATACTAAAAGCTATGCTATGATTAGTTTATAAATTGTCCTTTTGATACCATCTTGTTTTCTTTTGTAGGTATGAATAAAACACTGTTGTCAAAGTGAAAACTCTTGTCTTAATTCAAAAGTTTTTAATTTGAATGTTCATGTTTCCCACCTGTTCCTACTTAAAATATACGGGACACAAGAAGTACCCAATTCAGTGGTGCAGGTTGTCCTGCATGGTCTTCCTCCTCCCATCAGTTCAGTGTCAAGATAAAATGGTATGAAAGTATAAACCTTTATTTGAACATTTGTGTTTGAACCGAAGGCAGAACAGAATAAACCTATTGGACTGCCAGTTCAGAATAGTCAGTTCTGCAGCTGTTGAGGCTTCTGTGTCCAGCTGTTGAGGTGACTGCAGCAATTTCAGCCATATTTATTTAATTATTTGACCTGGTACCCAGGTCAATTAATTAGGATCAGCTGAATGAACTGTCACCCCAAAGACATTTGACTGTATCAACACTGATGTAAATGTAGACCAGAGCCGTATAAAGTTAACTATTTTATTTGTTAAAAGCAGTTTGATTACCAAAGGGATGCTCAGATATAAAAGACAACGGAAATACTTAAGTATCACTCAACACTGAAGAATTTCTAGCCATTCAGTCTTTAGGCACAGTCTGAAATTCGCTAGTCACAGCGTAGAGGAACAAGTAAGTTCCCTGCAGGATAGCTGAACCGTACGGCACAAAAAACAATCTTGGAGTGTCTTCAGGAACATGCATTGTTCGTGCACCTCTTCAGATGGGCACTGGGAGGCTCAATTTCTTTCCTTTCAATACTAGAAGACAAAAAAATTTGCTCAGTGTGGGAAAGGAATAACAAATTGGACACACTTATGTGGTGACGTTTACAAATTTGGTGTATTTGCAATACAAGCGGCTTTGAGTCCTCAGTGTGAAAGGAAAGTGGGATAAAATATTTAAATAACTGTCAGTGCATGTTAGAAACCCACATGAAATAACTCTCTGTAATTGTTACAAGCTGTGATCTGTGTTCCTTTCATTGGAAGGGCTGTAGTAGAATATGAAGCATGGGAATGTCTGGAATATAGGAAGCAATTTAAAATGGTCACAAAGTAGGTACTCAGTCTTTGGTGCGTCTTGCACCATACAGCACTGCTGCGGGTTAAGCCATAGTGCTCCCATTTTTTATATTGTAAGAAGTTGTAAGTGCTTACTTTCTTGTTTGCCTCTAGTGTTGGTATGAAGTAGCACTCCTCTAAGGATTCAATTGTAGGCAGTAAAATTTAGTTACTAATAGGGCAGTTTTTGGCCTTCAGAAATCCATATAATGTCTTACACGGACAGTTTCATGTTAATAACAATTTCATATACATGGACATTCATATGCAGGGCTCTTTTTGTAGCAGGAACTCCTTTGCATATTAGGCAACACACCCCTAATGTAGCCAGTCCTCCAAGAGCTTGCAGGGGCTACTGTAAGCTCTTGGAGGATGAGCTACATTAGGGGTCATTTCCTGCAGGAGTGCACAGGAGCGGAGCTCCGGCAGTAAAGAGCCCAGGGGGCGGGCACATGCAACAAACCCCACCCCCTGCTCCCAGTAGCTTTCAGTCAGAGCAAGAAGCAGCCAGGTAAGTTGCAGCGCTCCCCCCCCCCTCCAAAATAGTCCAGTGGCACCTTTAAGACCAAGTTTTATTCAGGTACAAGCTCTCCCTCCTCTGCAAGGACAGATCTGCACGTCCCCGTCCCCCCCAATAGCTAGCAATCCAACACAGTCCAGTGGAGCCTGAGCAGTGGGTGTTGCCTTCTGACACACTTCTGGTGATGTCAGGGGATGTGGCATATGCAAATAAGTTATGCTAATGAGCTCCTGCACCTCTCTTTCTACAAAATGACCCCTGCTGGCACCTAATATGCAAAGGAGTTCCTGCTACAAAGACCCCTGGACAGAACTAATGCTTACAAGTTTCTTAGGTTGGGGGAGAGCACTGTATGCCAAAATATATCATGGTCTGCTTAGGTTAGCATTATGGAAAAATGGACCACGAGTAGTTAACCATCTATTGAGTGCCTGATGTATTAATTTCATTCAAATATCTCAACAAACGATGGTTGTCTTGCTCATTCATTCCCCTCTCTCCACTTGTGGGCAGAGCACAATTTGGAAAGTATGAGGTTGGGAAGCCTTCAGTCATGTTTCAAATTATCATGATATCTAAAAGTCCAGACACCTGCATCTAGATGTCCTAGCAAATTGAAGCTTGATTAAAAGCTTCTCAACCTCAGGTACTTTTCAGTTGCACTTCAAGAGTCAGGTTCTGGGACCACACAAACCAACAAGCTATGCCCATAACAGTAATGGACAGACCTGTTTTTTGGGGTGCCTTAATGCAGCCTCTTTATCAGTAATTTTCACTCTTAAGATCCTTACCCTTAGTAACGTAGAGGTAAAAAAAGTCACAATAGAAGATGGTCTGTACAACTCCTGAAACTACAGCAATTTGATCATAGTAGTTTTCTGTTTGGTAGCGCCAGATCCAGTTGGCAAGATAGAGAGCATGGTAGAGGCCCAAGAAGAAAAGGTAATGTGTGGTGATTGTCTCTGCCTCGCCTGTTTTGCTAATCATGAAAAGTTGCGGAAGAATGGCCACTGATTCCAGGTAAATCGAGAAAGTCCAGAGGATCTGAGGAAGAGGAAAATAAGATTAGTTTATGAGGCCATGGAGGGGTGCAGAGAAAAACTTTACAATCCAGGTTTGAGCTATATGTGGGCTTTTGTATATCCTGAAACATTTCAACAGCATGAAGGAAACTGTTGGGATCACTTACATCTCCCCTGTAATATGCATGGCTTCCTTACCTCCAAAGGGGTGAAACTCTGGTTTTCCAGAAATGACAGGCCTGTGACAGGGATCAAAAGGAACTCAAGGCGGAAAGAGTCATTCTCATTGTCAAAGGTTTTACGGAACTTCCCGTAGATAAGGTACACAGTAATGTAGGCACACATTAAGAAAACAAACTGTGGAGGGACAAGGAAAATTAATTAGAGAAAGTTATAGTCTTCTATTTTAACAAATGCAAGGATTTCAGGAGTAGTCTGGAATAACCTTTGAATCTTCCCTTCAGTGGTTTTTCAGCAGATCAAAGACCAGGCTACAGATTTGACCTCATTAGTTCCTATTGTGCCTAAATATATTTAGTTTGGTGTTTGCTTTGCAGCAGCATTCCACTGTGCAGCTCCCCCCCTCCCCACCTTTGTATTGTTGCAAGCAGGGCTTGGCAACATCTCTAATTAGGACTGCTGCGTTCCAGTGGGGGTCTCAGGCTATGCTCCCTCTAAGCTGTAGAGTCATGTGAGCAAAAATTCTACTTTGTGAGCTATTAGCATTAAAGTTGCGAGCGAGCAATTTTGGCTGCTGCATAAATTAGTTTGCTCTGGAGCCATCCTTCCTGAATGGAGACAAAAGTGTGTGAGCTGGAGGCTAAACAACTGAGCTAGCTCACACTAACTCAGCTTAGGGGGAACACTGGTTTCGGGATTTAAGACACCACTTCCACCTTTATGGCAGAAAAGGCAGGGTAGGGGGCAAAAGCACACATACAAAGCAAGAGTCATCTGGGCCTCATAAAAGGTCCTGTTTTGCTTTGGGTTCACCGAATTTAAGTGTGTATGTGTGTGCGCAGGGGTGGGGAGTCAATCCAGGCTCTTGCCCTTACCTTCATGACAGTATTGTAGATTGAGAAGAAATTTGTGAATAAATCAAGGTAGCGGCTTGTGAAAACGATTGCAAAAAGGACTTGGCTCTTTCCCGAGATGCCTGCAGGGCACAAGAAAAAGTTAGTGCAATCAGGTGAGTGGGAGAAGCATCTCTGACAGGGCTGTAAGGATGCAGGCATCTTAATAGAGGGAATGGTTTTCCTTCGGTTGGAGGGCTTTCCTTCAGCGGTTTGTGCAAGTTGCTGTAGTTTTAGAAGTGTTTCTGTAACTTTACATTCTTAGAATTAATATAAAGCACTATCAGTTTATTCAGTACAGTGTAAGAAGTTTCATCTGTGAAGTTTACTTTGTGAAGTGGCTCTTAGTGTTCTAGAACAGTGGTTCTCAACCTGGGGCCATATGGCCCCCCAGGATATTCCAATGGGGCCACAGGTAAAAATTGCATAAGTGGGGGGCCACGGAAGTGACGCGATCACGCAGGGCATGCTGGAGGTGGGGCCATGACCATCTGAGGGAAAACCATAGAGTTTTCCCTCAGATGGTCATGGCCCCGCCTCCAGCATGCCCTGCGTGATCACGTCACTTCCTGGTGACGTGCACGTCGGGGTGGAGCTCCCCCCAGGGCCCGATCCGCCGGCGGCAGGGAACAGGCCTCTGGGGCAGGGGTTTCCCCGCCGCCCTGGGGGACTTGGCAAGCCTACTGATGTTAGATATTTGCATGACGACAAATTGAAAGAAGAAATACTATTTACTCGAAAGCTTAAAACAGATACTAAAGGTGAAACAATTTTTGAAGAAGTCAAGAGGTACTTCAATGAGAAAGATATCCCTATGGAGAACATTCCGGTCTGTGCTACTGATGGTGCTGCTTCTATGACTGGTAGATACAGAGGATTTAATGCATATTTGAAAGGTGTTATGCCAGAAGTATTCTGTATTCACTGCGTTGTTCACCAACTTGGTTTAAAAAAGACTAGCAGGGTGCTTGCATTAGTCTCTGGATTTTAATAAAAGCAGTAAATCATTAAATCAAATGCACTTCAAGATCGCTTGTTTCAACAGCTTTGCGAGAACAGTAACGAAGACTTCACACACTTATTACAGAAGTCCGTTGGCTGTCCAAAGGCCTTTGTCGTCTTGTTGCTTTGTGGGACTCAGTTGTGACATTTTTCAGAGGCAAGGAAATGGAAGAAAAGATGACCTCTGCTAAATGTAATATATTTTACCTGAGTGATGTCTTCAAAATGCTCAGTTTGTTAAACAAACAACTACATAGCAGAAATCGTGACCTTTTTTCAAGCAAGGAGATTATTACATGGTTTCTTGGAAAACTCAAGCTGTATGCCACTGATGTTGGATGTCGAGAATTTGCAGTTTTCCTCTTTGGCAGCAGTTAGCGATGAATTGAAAGATGATGAAATAATTGTGTATGTGAATCATTTGAAGCAGCTTTGTAATGATATGGAAGTTCGTTTCCGTGATCTGCTGGACATGGATATTCCAGCCTGGGTAGCCGATCCGTTTGCTGTGAATGCTGCTGACGATGTTTCTTTGCAAGAAGCGCTCATAGAGCTACAGAGTGACATGGCAGCCAAATTAACTTTCAATCAAGAAAAACACCATTTTTGGATAAAGAGTACAATATCTAAAAAGTTTCCACAGCTTTGGGATAAAGCAAAATTGTTTTTCATTGCATTTTTAACTTCATTCTTGGTAGAATCAGGTTCCAGTCGTGTGAATTATTTACTCAGCCTAATGCAGAATCACCTTAACATAATGGACAGAGGTGATCTGCTCATCAAGCACAAGGGTCACATTGATTGAGAAATACGTAATTGTATTTTGTAAAATTATAAAAATTGTAAATAAAACATGCTCTATTTACAAACATGCTAGCCTGCTAGCAAGAGACCAGAACAAAGGTTGGTACTGCTTTACATGTAAACTTTTTCTTGAATGTAATGCTAGAGTTTTGACAAAGATTTTTTGAAATGGCAGATTATGACTGAGAGCTGTAAACTCCTTGTAGTGCTGCAGTTTTCTCTTGAGCTGATTTATTGCCCTGTGATGTGATAGCATTGGTCTTGGGCTGATACCTTGGAAAGGAGTGACAAGCAAAAAATTTATTGAAGCTGTGACCACGTGCTGACTCTGCAGGTAAACATGGGTTTTGTTTTGGAATACAATTTGTAGCTTCAGAGGACTGAAAACCTAACACATGACTTTCTTCACTGCACTGTGGATTTTTGCATCGCTGTAATCTTGTGCAATGGTGGTAGAGGCTTTGTTCTCCCCTGTATGTAAACATTGTTGTTTATTAGCCATGTTGTATTCCCTTTTTGTGGGGTATTTTTTTGGTAAATTTGTAAATTTCAGTTTCCCAATAAGAACTGCATGTGTGCATTTTGTGTGGCTCTTTATGCTTATTTGTTCCTTGGCTATTTACAAACAAAACATTGAAAGAGCTACCTTCAAGTACAACACCTTTATTGGCATATAAAATAGCTACCTTTATACTGGTAGGACAGGGGGGCCACAGGAAGGAAACAAGGTCGGAAGGGGGCCATGGTCGGAAAAAGGTTGAGAAACACTGTTCTAGAAAACCAGCTGTCACTAGCAAACAAAAAAAGGACATGGGGGGTGGGATAGTAGGATCACTTCTGGCTGTGAACACACAGGAAGTTCCCTGACTTACATGAAAAGAAGGGGGGTGCATGACCAAATTAGGCCCCAGAGTGAAATGTAATTGGCTTTGTCTCACTTGGAGTCACCTGCAACCATTTCTGAGTATTACAAGTGACTGCTTACTTCCAACTGAGACTCACAGGGGCCTGGCTTGTTAACCTTACTGTTTGGTTATCACAAATGCATAATCCTATTATTTGTTTCTGTAAAGCATATTATACCAAGCATGACCATCTACATAGGGCAACAGTATATCTACATCAGTCCCAGACACCGAGGATGTACATTTGTCACAAGTAAGAAAAGAAATTATGTTTTCAGAGGAAATGGCACAAAAATAAACACACCTATATAGACGATTTCACTAGTCATTCTGAGAGGGCTGTGTACTTGGTTGCAGTGTGGGTATAAAAAGCTCACTGGGGTGACCCTGGACCAGTCACTCAGCCTAACCTACTTTATAGGATGGCAGTTGTGAGGATAAACTGGAGGTGGGAAGAATGATATTGTAAGCCAATTTGGGTCCCAATTGGGGAGAAAAGCAGGCTATATAAATATCTCAAACACTGCAAAATAATTTCTCCTTTCAGAGTTCCCCAAAACTTCCAATAATCTGTTTCAGACCCAGTTTCCCCCCGCGGTATGCATATGAAGCCCTGACCTGGATAGCTCAGGTGAGCATGATCTCATCAGGGTTGGCCCTGGTCAGTCTTTTGATGGGAGACCACTGAGGAAAGTCCAGGCAGGCAATGGCAAACCCCATCTGTTCACCTCTTGCCTTGAAAACCCTACTGGGTTGCCCTTAGGGTTGCCAGGTCCCTAGAAGTCGCCAGTGGGGGATGGGGGGGTTGCACTTACCAAGAGCAGGGAGGATCACCTGGCGTTTCAGCAATGTCCCTACGTGACCCGAAAATGTCATAGGCAATGTTGGGGAGAGAACACTGTTTTGGGGGGCAAAACTCTATGGTAGAATTAGCTTTTACCATAGAGATTTTGCCCCAAACCCAGAGCATCATCCCAATGTGCCCACGTCACTTCTGGGTCATGTAGGCACGTTGCTGAAATGCCAGGCATCCCTCCCTTGTTGAGCAGGTAATTCCTGTTTGCCAGCCAGCTGGCCGGCAGCGGAGAGGTGGTGGGGCTTGGCAGTGGGAGACTCCGGCCCCCACTGGGTTTTTTTTTTGCATTCTGGCATCCCTAGTTGCCATAGGTTAGCTGTGACTTGATGGCAAAAAAATAGAAATGAAAGTACTATATTTACTGTAAGGGTGTGTATATAACATACTGTTGTCATGATCATAGGTCTGAGGCTAGAGACTGGATTAGGCTGTAGGCCTCAAGACAGCCTTTCCCTCATGTACAGGCCTGGCTGCCAATTTCCCTGCAGGCCTAGATTACCTAGGCAACCTCCAAGCCTCAGGATTGGGCCTGGGGGGAAATGCAGGGATAAGCAAGCACCAATAGCTGTCATCTCTCCTTATATATAATTGAATAGTGGGTGCCAAAGTTCTAATTCTAAAATGCACTCCCTTAGTGTATGACTGATGGCACTGCTCCTCAGCATATATCGCCACCAATCAGAAGGCAAAGCCTGGGTCCCGCCCACACCACAACTGCTGCGACAACCTGGTCTTTTGCATATGGAAGCTGATTGGACTTCACTCCATTCCACACCTCAAACTCCCCCCCCCCGCAAGGCAGTTGGAATGTCAGTTGCATATGGAATCTGCTGTATTCTGGTGGTGTGCAGGTCCCAGATTCATGTTTTAAAAGCAGACTGACACTGTTTGCCCAAAGCCAGAGCACTCTCCCAGAGCCTCTTTCTAGATCCCGTTGTATTTATTTCCACAACGGGCCTTATTTCTAGTAAGAACATAAGACGCCAATGTTGGATTAGGCCAAAGGCCCATCCAGTCCAACACTCACAGTGGCCCAAAACACCAGGTGCCATCAGGAGGTCCACCAGTGGGGCCAGGACATTAGAAGCCCTCCCACTGTTGACCCCCCAAGCACCAAGAAGACAGAGCATCACTTGCCCCAGAGTCCCTATCTATACCTTGTGGCTAATAGCCACTGATGGACCTCTGCTCCATATGCTTATCTAATTCCCTTTTGAAGCCGTCCATGCTTGTAGCCGCCACCACCTCCTGTGGCAGTGAATTCCATGTGTTAATCACTCTTTGGGTGAAGAAGTACTTCCTTTTATCTGTTCTAACCCGACCGCTCAGCAATTTCATGGAGTGCCCACGAGTTCTTGTATTGTGAGAAAGGGAGAAAAGTACCTCTTTCTCTACCTGCTCTATCCCATGCATAATCTTATAAACTTCGATCATGTCACCCCTCAGTCATCGTTTCTCCAAGCTAAAGAGCCCCAAGCGCTTTAACTATTCCTCATAGGAAAGGTCAAGCAATCAG